GAAACCCTATCCCTAAGTCTTACTCTCTTATTTACTCTCCATGTGTCAACAAAACCCTATCCCTTAGTGTTCCCCCTTATACTTACTCTTCTCGTGTCAGTGGAACCCTATCCCTGAGTATTCCCACTCTACCCTCTCTTATTTACTCTCCATGTGTTAACGAAACCCTATCCCTTAGTCTACCACTCTTGCTCACTTATATTGTGTCTAAGAAACCCTATCCCTTAGTATTCCCTTCTTACTTACTCAAGTGTCTGTAGAACCCTATCCCTAAGTCTACCCTCTTGCTCACTTATTACGTGTCAATAGAACCCTATCCCTTACTTTACCACTCTTTCCCACTCTACCCCCACTCTTACTTACTCATCTCGTGTCAAAGAAACCCTACCCTTCGTGCGTCTACTCACTTATCTCGTGTCTAAGAAACCCTATCCCTAACTCTTCCTTCTTATCCCACCTTCGATCTCATACTTCTCATACACACTCTTACACTTACCTCTCTTGTCTTCTCACTTACTCATCTGTCAGTGAAACCCTATCCCTGAAACTACCCCTCTAATCACACTTATACTCTCTCTCTACCCCTCTGTCACTTATCCCTCATTAAACGCAACCCCTATCCCTGACTTGTCCTTACTGACTCTTCTCGTGTCAATGAAACCCTATCCCTTGCTATTCCTCTTTTATTTACTCTCCATGTGTCAAAGAAACCCTATCCCTTAGTATTCCCTCCTTTCTCACTTATCTCCTGTCAAAGAAACCCAATCCCTGAGTGTTCCCTACTTCCTTACTCTTTTCGTGTCAGTAGGGATAAATGTTACATTAAAAGAACAAGAGATATAAAAAAAAAAATTCTAGTATAGGAAAAGACAAGTGGTACCTAAAACTACATGATTATAACACGACACGCCTTGCTGGTTTATTTACACGCTATTTTTTCGTGTTGCCAACATGTGCAGACGCGTTCTACACGTACTTTGATGTCATTTAAACGTATTTTGACATGTTACGCGTTTGTTTGTACCTGTATGAACATGTAACACGCGTGTGGACGTGTTGTAGTCGTGTTCTATCGCGATGCAGACGTGTTTGGATGCGAGAGACATTTTATTTCTTTTCGGGTGGTAGACCACTCTTTTAGATCCTAATAAGACTCTGCTGTAGACTATAATATGGCCTTCGGAAAAATGATTCTGTAACTTTCAAAATTAGACTCGTAAAAGTGTTCTTAACATTTTACCGATCAAGATAGAGTTCAACAAGTAAATGAAAGAGAATTCATACAGGGACAGGCCCCCTTTCATTATTATGTCCTTCATTGAGCATTAGTGTTAACCCAATCTAGCTTAAATGAACTCTGGGCTTTGTACATAGAGTGGCTGTACAATTAGCAAGCAAGTTACCTTTCATAGCCGAAATAGGTGGGCAATGATCGTGCATCCATAGCCTATGCTAGGCCCCTGCACTTGTAAAACTTTGGTTTTACGCGTATAAGCCTTCTTAATAACGAATAATAGCATAAAAAATAAATCCCTTGCTTTGACCAACTCTACCGACTCGAGTTCTACATAAAAGTTGAGTGTCACTGACCGACTATCACTAGTAATCGGTAATTAGATATCCGAAATATTTTTCTTATTAAATCTTTAGCAAAAAAATGTGGGAGAATCGCCTCAGTCTCAGGAATACACTGGTAGGGAGATTACGCTTAAAAGTAGCTGTGTCAAAAGTGCAAAAAAGTGAAGCCGGCCGGGGTTGAACCCCTAAACCCCGCTTTTAAAGACCGACGCTCTCCCCCCTAAGCTATAATTCTGGCGGAGTTTCGCGTTGGTAGTGTAACACAACATACGCCTATAACTAATAATACACGTGACTTTCACGTGACATGCCTTGCTTTTCTATATACAGGAATAGAATGCTTTATCAAGCTAAACGGACGCGTTATACACGTGTTTTTTGTGTCTTAAACATGCTCTGCCGTATTATTCACTTGTCTTGAATGTGTACCAATGTGCTGTACTCGTGCACGGACGTGTTATTCTCGTGTATGCATGTGGTGTAGAAATGTCAAGTTGCATTCTATTTTCCAAAGAAACATTTCCTGCATTGTTCCAACTTATACCTTCGACCTTATTCTTTTCGGCTAGAGCTCATTTCTTGACATTTCCATTTTAAATTAACTGAGAATACTTAACAGACCAAGGCAAACAGACTTTTAAAGGTAAGGTTGTTATAAAGTGCCCCCAAAAAGTATATTTTACGTTATTCTAATTTTACCATTCATTTCCCCAAGTATTGATCTTATTTCTTTCGGCTAGAGTCCAATTCGTAAGCTTTCATTCTGAAGTTAACTGGGGACACGCTCTTAGTGTCTGTTAATCGATGCGTAAAGTGTGCAAATCTTGAAACTGTCACAGAAAATAGTATTGGACTTTATTGTCCACGTACAAGTCATTTTAGCGTGTATTCACTTTGTTTCTTTCGGCTAGAGACCAGTTCTTGAGCTTTTATTCTGAAACTACTTAGAGAGACGTACAAGATACCAAATAATAGATCCGTGGAAGTCTCGCTATTTGAAAGTGTCTACAAAATATTCTTTCGCACAATATTTTCAATTTACACATTATTTCACGAAGTAGTGACTTTATTTCTTTCGGCTAGAGTCCAATTCTTGAGTTATTAATCTGGAATTAATTGCAGACAAGCTCGACGTACTTGTAAAGAAATGTGTAAAGTTGCTACTGCTTGAAACTGTTACAAAGAGAATTATTGGACTTTATTGTCCATGTACAAGTCATTTCACCAAGTATTGATCTTATTTCTTTCGGCTAGAGACCAGTTCTTGAGCTTTCATTCCGAAATTAACTGGAGACACGTTCGTAGTGTTTCTTAATCCATGTGTAAAGATTTGGAAGCTTCAAGCTGCCACAGAAAAAAGTCTTTGACTTTATTGTCCATTTTTAAGTCATATCACAGTGTATTTACTTTATTTCTTTCGGCTTAAATAAGAATACACGGATAAACATCTATTCAAGTAAAATGAATAAACAATTGAATCGTAAGTCCAGATTGAATCTACTATTAGTTTAGACACAATAAGAATACAAATAGGACATCATTTGACTCTTGAGAACAGGTTATTTTTACTTTGATAACTTTATAGCCTATTTTTGATATCAACCATAGGACTGGTGCATCAAAAAACTATCTCACCATAGTAGAGACTACTCTAATGCAAACACGAAACATATAAGAGGCACCGATACAACAAATACGAAGCACCGACTTAACAAACATGCATACAAGAGCAAATTAAGCATTTAGTAAAGGATTATCTTGTATTGAATTGAAATTACTGTCTCTTAGACGAAATGACTTGAAAAGAGCCTAGTCAAAAAGGGCTTTTATAATTACGTTTTGTCCCAGTAGCACTGCATGCGATTCAGATATAACTTCTTTATAATGTTAATACTGCTTCAATTGAATTTAAGGCCCCTCTTCTAGTGTACTTAAAGCTAGGTAAGTATATTTTTATGCTAAGCTTTTGTTTGGTTCATACAAGAGATCGTGATATACAAGGTCAATTGGAGAACATCTAAAGCACTTGTTATACTGTTAGTGACTCATACACTAATGACAGGTGCATCTTCGACAAATAACATTATTGTTTGAGATCACTGCACATCTTTTATATTAAATAGATACAAATAACATGGGCTTGTTATAATACACTTTCAAAATGCGTCTCCCTTGCTTCATAAATGTCAAGTGGAGGCCAGAAATAATAATACTACGTCTTAACCATCAATCATTAAATCTGTCATAAGTAATGACTTATTACATCTAATCACTGCTTAATTTTAAGCAGAATACAGTAACTATAAAATCCTTTTACCTTTAATGTAGCCGAACTATCCTCTTCTTTCTTGCCCTTCATCAGATATATTATCTAATAACCGTCTCTCCTTTTTTCTTCTTTCTCTCTCTCTTTTATAATAAATAGAATAATTATCCTCTCTTTCTTTGTCCTTGTAAGTATTCTTCCATCTGTCCTGTTTGCGTATCCCCTCCTGACAGCTACCATCACTGTCTGACTCAATGTTTTCATGGCTACATTTGCCATTGTTATGGTCTCATCATAATCAGTTGAGGTCACATGATATTCACGTGAGATCACATGATATTCACGTGAGGTCACATGATATTTACGTGGCTCATATAATATAAGAACCAGCTAGGTGTAACTGGGTGACATCTTGCACATTTTGGGGACAATGAATGGAGTATACCAGCAACAGGAATAATAACAGTTACGACTGGGCTTTCTTATGTAGGCTGTTAGGAGGTTGTACATTACGATCTCGATGACATACAGTAGTGTGTGTCTACTAGCAGGATTTTAGGCAACATGTCAATTTAATATTTTTCTGTTCATGGTAAAATTATGGCATGGTATTACATCGTCCGGAATTCAATTTTCTCCGTCTCTAAGTCACACAGTGGTACGACATCGCCGGGAATCGAATTATCTCGATGTATAGGTCACACAGTGGTAGCACAGAGTCGGTGATTTAATTTTTATGACCATTTGGTCACAAAATGGTACTACGTGAGCGGGGATTTAATTTTTATGACCATTTGGTCACAAAATGGTACTACGTGAGCGGGGATTGAATTTTTATGACCATTTGGTCACAAAATGGTACTACATGAGCGGTAATTAAATATTCATGATCCGGAAATCATTTTCCTGACCTTTGGGTGTTTGACTTTTGCATGTCTGACTTTTTGGGTTATGAAATGAAATGGTACCTGATTGTTGGGAGAAATCTTGCGTGCGTAGGCTTATTCATCTTGAAAACTCGCTTTCTACAACCGAACCTTGGTAACAGGGTGCTGTCTGCACTAATATTGAACAAATTTTTGGCAGACACCCTTGAACCCTTCAACCCCAACCCCCAATTTTCGCCTAATACCTTAATTGATTTATCTTTTATTCTTTATCTCTCCTTGTCGTAGGCAACATGGTTGTCGTGGGCATCAGGGTTGTCGTAGGCAACAGCGTTGTCGTGGGCAACAGCGTTGTCGAGGGCAACAGCGTTGTCGAGGGCAACAGCGTTGTCGAGGGCAACAGCGTTGTCGAGGGCAACAGCGTTGTCGAGGGCAACAGCGTTGTCGAGGGCAACAGCGTTGTCGAGGGCAACAGCGTTGTCGAGGGCAACAGCGTTGTCGAGGGCAACAGCGTTGTCGAGGGCAACAGCGTTGTCGAGGGCAACAGCGTTGTCGAGGGCAACAGCGTTGTCGAGGGCAACAGCGTTGTCGAGGGCAACAGCGTTGTCGAGGGCAACAGCGTTGTCGAGGGCAACAGCGTTGTCGAGGGCAACAGCGTTGTCGAGGGCAACAGCGTTGTCGAGGGCAACAGCGTTGTCGAGGGCAACAGCGTTGTCGAGGGCAACAGCGTTGTCGAGGGCAACAGCGTTGTCGAGGGCAACAGCGTTGTCGAGGGCAACAGCGTTGTCGAGGGCAACAGCGTTGTCGAGGGCAACAGAGTTGTCGTGGGCAACAGAGTTGTCGTGGGCAACAGAGTTGTCGTAGGCAACATAGTTGTCGTAGGCAACAGCGTTGTCTAGGTTATAATCTTTGTTGTTATGGTGATCTGGTGTTCATGTTTATCATTATTTGCCCTATTTATCTTTAATCGTCATGGTTTTCGAATATTGTCATAGTTATCGATAATATCCATAGCTATATTTTAATGTCATGGTACTTATATTGTCATGGTTATCTAGTTGTCCTGTGACTTCTTAGTTACATAGTATCCTTGGGTATCCTGTTGTCATATGTCTTTTGCTGTCATAGATATCCCTGTTGTCTTCGATACGTTCTTATCTTTGATATATTGTTGTCTAAGTTAATGTGGTGTCATGGATATCATTTTCTTTTAAGTTTTGTATTTTCCCTTTCATTGTTGTCTTAGTTACATTCTTGTCTGCGTATTCTTATTTTCTTATTATCATGGTAATCTCGTTATCTTGGTAACCTTATTTTACTTCTTTCATCAATGTCAAGGATGTCTTATTGTCTAGGTTATTGTGTTGCTTAGTCTTCGTAGCTGTCTTAGTTGTGTAGCAACCAGGATATCATGCTGTCCTGGATACGGTTGTCTTCTTTACTAGGTTGTCTTCGCTTCTTCATTGTCTTGAATACCGTTGTCTTCTATACTAGGTTGTCTTCGATTCTTCGTTGTCTTGGTCATGGTTGTCTTCCTTACTGCGTTGTCTTCGCTTCTTTATTGTCTTGGATATTCTTGTCTTGTCGTCTTGGTTATCTTTTATGTTGCTTTTCTAGATACAACTTTGTCTTATGTATTTGGTGGTTTAGTTACTACGTTACGTTGTCTTGTATATTATGAGGTCCGACCTACTTAGTTGCGCCTTCCGGATAGTTATGGTTTTCATGTTGTTAGGGATCTGGCGTTGACGTATATTTTGTTTTCTTCTATATGCTGTTGTCTTGGTTATTTTCTTGTGTTGGGTATCATGTCATATTATATACCTGGTTGTCTTGACAATCTCGTTGTCTTGTATACATTGCTCTCTAGAATATCTTCTGTCTTCGATACGCTGTTGTCTTAGTGATTATGTTATCCTTAAAATCATGTTGTCCTGGATATCCTGTTGTTCTAGAAAGATTGTTGCCTTAGTTTTGCTATTGCTGTACTTACCTGTTGTCTTAGTTACCTTGTTGTTTTTGTCCTATGGTTGTCACAGTTATTTTCATGTCTTACTTATCTGGTTGTCTTGGTAAATATTTATCTTAGAGTTCTTGTTGTCTTGGAGATCATTTCTTTTTGGATATTTTATTGCCTTGGATATCTTGTTGTAATGCATATTTTGTTGTCCTAGAAATCATGCTGTCTTTGTAAGGTTGTTGTCCTAGAGATGTAGTTGTCCTACATATTTGGTTGTCCTACATATCATGTTGTTATACTTACCTAGTTGTCTTATATAACTTGTCGTTTTATATGTCTTGTTGATTTACATACCTTGATGCGTTGGATATCTCAATGTATTGGATACTATGTTGTGTAATTAATTTTCGTTGACTTCATTTGGTCGTTGTCATAGTCATTTGGTATGCAGGTTACCAAGTTGTTTTAGATATTGTGTTGTCTTGGTTCTTTAGTATCTATGATATCGTGTTGTCCTGCATTGTTAGTTATATTCGCGTCTTTGTTGTCTAAGTTACTTCGTACCTTTGTGTTGTTGCCGTATTGGAAACTACAATATCGTGCCGATACTATTTCTTTTCGCGGTTTTACTCCTGTTGGAATCGCTATTGCCTTAAATTATTTTTCGTCCTTAGTATCTTAGTCGCCTATAAATATTATTTATAGCTATGTAGAGTCTGCAACATCAATATTCACTTTAGTTGGGAACCATTGAAACTATTGCCCATTATAATACTCTACGACTTTGTCAGTCTTTTAAAACATTTATGTAACTAGCCTTTTTTGCTGTTTACGTAAATACTACATACTATGCTGAATACATTATCAGTGTTTGTTGGAAGGTCTAAAATTGTTTCGCCTTTTGATAAGTTTGTTTTGTGCTTTTGTCTTAAATATTTATTATTTCTAATTTCTTTCGGCTGTGGCTCTTATTCAGCTACATCCTCTCCATAATAAGCTTACATACCTCCAAAGGAATGGCTGACTTATTCATTTAGATGCCATTGCGTAAAACTCTCTTTAGACATAGTATTTCATGTGTTTTTTATTTTTTTAACCTTTGTTGTTCGGCTAGACTTTTTTTAACCGTAGCCATACCTTAATTCGTGTATTCTCATCTTGTTAAAGTAATTCCCAAGTCATTAAAACTTTTTTTCGACTTCTTACAATTTTTTTTTTAAATTATCCTCCCTGCACTATTTTTTTCCGCTTGCGACGAATTGTTTGTCGTTTGTCTTCAACCTTTGAGGAGGTTTTTAGAAGATACTTCTAATGCTACCTGTTATGTGGTGGTCGTGTTAAGTTGACTAAGGAATTATTATTTGGTGATTTTGTAATTTCAAGATTTATTTTATGAAGTAATTCGTTCTATACCGTCCTTATTTGCCTTGACAGACGTTGTTTGCTGTTTAGGTATTGTTTTGTAATATCTCAAGTTATACAATAGGTTTTCACTTGTTCTCCGCGAGCAAGGTGTCTTGTCATATTAACTGTTGGGATATTTTAATACTTTGGCAACTTCTCTCTAGTTTTTTAATTAATCATGTTTCGATTCTGTGTAATAGATGCGCTAGATACTAATTACCTATTTTAATTAGTCCTCTGCTATTAAGGAAGTCATTAAATATCTGGTCTTTTTCTTTGTAATTCCTTTTATCCATCCTTTTATCTATGAAAGAAAAAGAACTCAAGAACCTCTAATTTAGTTAAGACTTAGGCTCAAATGTTCTTAAACAAATCCGACAGTTGTTCGTGCTTTTGGTTTTTGATACCGGTATATCCATACTTGGTGAATACTTTATTAATGAATGCCAAGTAATGGTTTGACGTAAACTTAGTCTTACTCTAGTCCAACAGATTACCTATTCTCACTCTTTGTACAGGTTGCTACTATTTTATTTTAGGTGATACCGTCATAAATCTCTTACTATTACTCAATTATTACGTCAAGTACATTTATAAACAGTTTATTATGCCGGCTAGACTTTTTTAAATAAACTGTAGACATAAAGATTACAATTTTAAACCAAATAAATATATTCCCATGTCCTTAGAAAATTTTTTCGACTTTTCAAAACTATTTTTCTGTTTTTGTCTTATGTGTCCTTTTTTCCAATTTCTTTCCGCTTGGAACGGAATCTTGATATTTTGCTTTGAAACTTTAAGGAGACTTGGAGAAGGTCTCACTTTAACTATGCATGTAGTTGCGGTCGTGCAAAACCATCCATCAAAGTTTTAATTTGCAATACTGCTCTTTTTAAGGTATTTTATAAAGTATTTCATTCGTTATTGTGTCTATTCATATTCTGCTTACGTTGGGCGTAATGGAAAAAGTCTTCGTATAATGGTAATGTATCTCTGGCTAATTATCACTGTTGGTTTTGGTCAAAAATTACAAGTCTTGTCAATTATTGGTCGTTACAAGTTTATTTTTCACTCATCACAGCCCCCAGTCAATCAGTCTACTCTATACTGAGGAGAAAGCGCAGTGATAATAGCTACTACAAGAACAGAAAGAACTCATACACCATTGCCAATGATATGAAGCTTCCTTAACATTCAATTGCGTCTATATCAGGGTATAACACAAAATAAAACGTCCTTACAGAGATCCAACACGCCTTCCAAGAAGTTTAACATGTATTTACGTGAGACAACATCTCGTCACGCATTTAAACAAGTGCAAAACAAGTCAAAGCACGTTTATATGGCCAAAAAACACGTGTTTAAGGCGTCCGCTTAAGTTGGAAACACATTTTGGGCGTGCACATACAATAGCATGGTATGTCACGTGAAAGTCACGTGTATTAATAATACTAGTCGTTTTTAGTACTACACTGCTAAAACGAGACTCCGCCAGAATTATAGCTTAGGTGGGAGAGCGTCGGTCTTTGAAAGCGGGGCTTAGGGGTTCAACCCCGGCCGGCTTCATTTTTTTGCACTTTTCACACAACTGCTTTTATGCGTGATCTTCCCCACCAGCGTATTCCTGGGGCCGAGGCGATTCTCCCACATTTTTTTGCTAAAGATTTTGTTAGAAAAATATTTCGGAATATTTAATTTCCCATCTTTATTCAAAATCAGTCAGTGACCTTCAACTTTTTTGTAGAACTTGATTCGGTTGTGTTGGTCAACAAGGGGATTATTTTTTTACTCGATAATTCGTTATTAACAAGGCGTATACGCGTAAAACTAAAGTTTTGCAAGGGGAAGGGATTTAAATGGGCTCTGATAAACGATGCTGGCCATCAGAATTAGATATAAAAGGCAACTGTACTCCTACTCGTATACTACTCCGTCTATAATTTCCAAAGATCATCCAAACTAAGTTGGGGTAACAACAAATGCTTATGAAAGGCTAGAAAATAATAGCAAGTTGTCTCTATATCAAGTCATTCTCATTCACTTGCGGAACTTTTATCTTGAGCAGTATAATGTAGATGAACACCGTTAAACAAGATTAAAGCATTTTTGATCTTCTTTAATACTATAGTCATGCCTGGTTGAAATATAACTGATCAAAATACATTATCAGATAATTGACTATTAAAAAGGGAAAGGTACTAAAAAACGAAAGCAGGTAAGAAAATGAGGGTCTATTCTAAGTTGGAGAGTTTTTCACGATTAAAATAAAGTCTTTTCCTATACTCGAAATCTGAAAAACATTTCGTTACTTTTAAAAATTCTTTAGGCTCTGGTCTTTATCTTAATAGTCACTCCTCATATTCAGCCGACACATGTGTAAAGTAATGACAGACTAATTTATTAAGGTGTCATTGAATAAAACTGTCTTTAGACATATAATTTCATGATTTGTTCCCTTTTGTACACTTTTTTGTCCAGCTAGACATTTTTCAAATATTAGCATATCTACATTTGCCTATTCCAAACACATTAAAATTACTCCCATGTCATGATAAAATTTTTACGACTTTTGAGAAATATATTTCTGTTTTTTTCTTCAGTCTTTTATTTCCTAATTTCTTTCGGCTTGGAACGAAATCTTGAGATTATCCTTTGAAACTTTTAGGAGTCGTGTAGAAGATAATACGTAAACTATACATAATGTGCTAGTTATTCAAAACTGCTTTAAAAGTTGTTCATTGGCAGTATTCTCAGTTTTTTAAGTATCATAGACTGTTTCTTCGTCAATAATGAGTGCATTCATGATCTGCTTATATTGTGCGTAATGTACAATGTCTTTATGCTATGCTAAAACCGTATCAATTATTGGACACCTGTTGCTCTGAAATGAAATTACAAGGCCGGCCATTTGTGGGTCCTTTTACTAACATCATCGCTACTTGTTTGTCATTTTGTTAAATGTTTGCTATAATTTGCTCACAGTGGCCCTGGTAATCAAGACGACTGTTGCAGTTATCCCCAGTTTATAGCATTTATTTAATAAAGTATTGTAACTTACTTTGAAGTTGTGGTCTAACAATTGGAGAGTTATTTTCTCATCAATGACTCTTAGGAGTTCATATCATGTTTTTAACAGAGTTGATCTATGCTAAAACCGTTAC